GGTGGGGTGGGGTGATTTTATTATATTACAGTTAAATATTTAATTTAATATAATAATTATGAAATGTAATTAATTAATTTAAGAAAAACCTGATTTTTGTAATTTTAAACTGTTTGGCCTGATTTTTAATTTTGGAATAGTAAACACCTGACCCATAAACTTTTCCCTTTCATATATTTGTCAAGCCATTTTTATTTTTATAGTTATTGTCATTTGCATTTCTCTATTTGGTAGGTGTAAGGGATGATTTCTTTATCCTTTTTTAGTGGGTCACAATAAAAAAATTTTGATTTTGTAAAAATGCATAATAAAAATTTATTTTCTATAATAGTGTCTAATAAACTTTTGTTTTACTGCTAGCATATATTTTCAATTCTGCTCCTTCATTGTACCTCAAAGATTGTGCAAGGTTTAGTGATAAGGACATTGACGAGGATGTACATTTTTTTTTGTTTAAATTTTCAGTTAAGACCATTCTTATTAGGTAGTATAGTTGTATTGTTACTCTAATTACATTTCTTATTTAATATATAGGAATCAATTTTGAATCTTGACTCTTTACCTATCCTGGTAAGAGTCGCGGAGAAGAATGAAAATTGACCTATACTAGTAAGAGTCTTGACCTATGTTGATAATATTGTTTGTTTAATTCGAATTTTGCATTTTGAAGTTGCGATATTGTTTGTTAAATTGACTTAGTATTGTGTTTTTGTTTTTATTGACTTTTCTTCATAATTTTTTTTTTTTCTATTTGACGGTTAGAGTTTTGACTTATAAAAAATAATTTACTTTCGTGATTATTAATCGAACCAGACCGAAATATGAATCGAGCCGAACAGAACCGACTTACGTGGTTATGGTGCTGTTATGGTATGACCAAAAATTTGATAGTGTTGTTATGATTTTAGTCGAACCGAACCATTGTCATCCTTACTATGACATATATATGGTACTAGTATAATTGTAACATTTTCATATAAAATTGGAATATAATTTAATTCAATGAAAAATGTTACCGTCACGTTAAATGCTGATAATTGTTGATGAATAGCATTATGTAATTTAATTCAATGAAAAATGTTACCGTCACGTTAAATGCTGATAATTGTTGATGAATAGCATTATACCATTTACTTTAGGCTACGCCACTCTTCTAAGTTCGTATATATTTGTTTTTGCTTTTCAATAAAATTAGCTAAAAAAGTTCTCCTTTAAATTAAAAGTATACGAGCTTTACTTTGAATTAGTTTTCTAATACAATTTTTTCTATATTGTGTACGCGATATTGAAATCGTTTATTTTAA